AAATGACATTAAATCCCTTCTGTCAACACTGTTCTAATAAAATTTTGACATAGACGATTTTCGTAATTCGCCGTAAATCGTTTTCACTGCATGTTCTGTGTTATTAAAAATTCCCTGTGTTATTAATAATTCACGTGGATTCTGAACTTTTTTTTTTTTTGCCAAATTTCTTGAAATTCTAACTACTGAATCGTTACAAATCGGCAAATTTCTACCAAAGCAATCGGTCTCGAGCAACTGCGCATGCGCTACATTTAAGTGGGTTCTTTCGGTAACAAAGAAAAAGCTGATAATTGCTGGGCTCTTCATCGTTATCTTTTCTAACTTACCTTTGTAATAAAAGACTAAATCCATCAATACACTGCGTTCAGTTATGAAGAAAAATAGCACAGGTAGTGCGGGCATTGAGCAAATAAAATGATCGCTGTATCGACGGCATGTTTGTTTTTTGCAATCCTTGTGCGCGCGCTGAATCACATTAGCAAGAGCGCGCGTGAAAACTGTGTTCGGCCACCTTAAATATTACAAACGGGCAATCTTTAAAACGAGTAACGGGGGATTGAAGAATTGGAGATTTGGGCAACGGGGAACGGAGAACAGGAAATGGGGAATCTTTAAAATGGGAATCTTTAAAAGGGGATTTTTAAAATGGGTAATCTTTAAAATGGGGAATTTTTAAAAGCGGGAACTTTTAAAACGGGGAATCTTTCAAAGCGGGAATCTTTAAAATGGGAAATCTTTAAAATGGGGAATCTTTAAACGCGGGAATCTTTAAAATGAGGAATCTTTAAAGGAAGAATCTTTAAAACGGGGAATCTTAGAAAGCGGGGATCTTTAAATTGGGGAATCTTTAAAAGCGGGAATCTTTAAAATGGGTGAAGACAAACAATAAACTGCAAGACTGATACTACGTGAAAAACATTTTGAGACACCAACATGACAAGAACCGATAAAGTAGGATCGATTAAAATGGGAAATCTATAAAAGCGGGAATCTTTAAAATGAAGAATCTTTAAAAGCGGGAATCTTTAAAAGCGGGAATCTTAACACCGGACTGTGACGTTTTTAAATTGGGTCTCGCAGCGATAGATATTTGTCCTAGCCTTATCATGTGCGACTTTACGACAAATATATGGGAAAGAAAACATATGGGTTCCTGGTTTTGTAATAGACTATGCTTGAATTTCTAAGCTTTTGCATGACGCGATATTTACATGTCGAGCAAGAGAGCTGTGATGTTGGTTAAAAAAGTGACTTACTTCGGGGAATTTGGCTGTCTGAACAAGTCAGATAGCCTATAATATTGTCATGGAATAGTAAATTCTCCTCAACTCTTAACTTAAAAAGTAAGATGATAAAAATTACGTCACAGAACACCGCCGCCCAATCGTTCGGGCATCTAATTGCTGTATTGCTGGTTTTCAGTGTCACGTCATTCAAAATAGATCAAAATAAAACTCAAAACAGTTCAATAGATAAAGTCCAGAATCTTGAAAAGAAAGGACGTAAATATGCAAAGACTCTCGCCAAGAGTCAGGTCACAGCAATTTTTCTTATGCAAGATATGCGGAGAAATTTTTAAGGAGATGCCACGCTGGTGTACCAGCATGGCGCCCGGAAACCAACAGAAACATCTGTCACTGAGTTTTGCTACAAAAACGTGAATTTATAATACTTTTTCTAATACATGAACTGTCCATTTTAAAGATTTCCACTTTTAAAGATTCGCCATTTTAAAGATTTCCCGTTCCCCGTTTCCCGTTCTTCATTCCCTTTCCCCGATCCACCCATCCCCCGTTCCTCGTTTTAAAGATAGCCATTACAAACGTATGTAATTGCAAGCGGGCAATGAAACAACACGAAGGCGTTTGTCCGTTTACCAGCATCATCAAAGACCAGACTGCCAAAGCAAGGTCACTTGGAATCAAGCAGAGATGTCGGCAAACAATATCCAAAGGTGGGGTAACTTTTCTCTTCGTTATTGTCGACCGACCGTAGTATATGCGTTTAGTCAATTACTATGTAGTACGAACAAAAGGTACACAAATTTGCATATTTCGTACTGGTAAATCATGGAAAATCCTTCGACAAGATCTTTAAAGAGGTTCAGTACAGTAACAGCTAAATCAACTACTTCACTGCTATTTTGAACGAAATGCCCATTTTACATAGGCTAATAAACTGGGAGTTCTCAACTTATTAGTTTGCGTTTCGGTTGACTGACAAGCGCATTCTTCTTTCAGAGTACGACAATCTCCGTCGGTAGCTATGGAGTCGAATCTTGACAGTGTTCGACACTTAATTTTGAGTGCACTCGCCATTCGGGCGAGTGACGTGACCCTCCAAATGCACTCGCCCGGACCACTTTTCACTCGCCCAAAAGTTTACCCCCGCCTTGTCTCTCCAACCATTTGTCCATTTTAGCCATCTTTTATTTTTGCTATTTTTACTAAGAATCGACTCCGCTGTGTAGCTAGTGCAGCTATCGATAAATCTAGTCCAGTTTTTCAATCGAAACAAAAACTAAGGAAAAAACGGAGAAGTAAAATCGTCAAAATCTATGCTAATTAAGACTGGTTATCCAAACCTCCTTCACGGTTGTGATTTTCGTTGTTTTAACTTGGTGAATTATTAATGAGTTTGAGACTGATTCTATTTAAAGACCTTAAACCCGATGGAAACATAATGGAGGCACTTACAGCTGTACTTTATATTTCAAATAGTTTCTTCATTGATGAATCTTCGTGAGATCCCTGCAGTTTGCGAGTAGACTTTGTAATTAAAAATAGAAATGGTAAGTTGATGTTTAGGGATTCTCTCGGCAAATTGGAATGTAAAAAACAGTACTCATTTTGCAATTCAAATAATTTCTTGGCAACGAAAATCGTATTCACCAAACGGGCGAGTGGTCGATGATTTGCGCTCGCCCGACACCTTAGACACCCGTTTGGGCGAGCGGGCGAGTGCTAATGTCCAACCCTGTCTTAATCGCTTGTTTCACTTTCATCATATATTTATAAATGTTTGATCCATTCTAAGTTTGTAATTTAGACTATTTCGTTACTCAATCGCCTCGTTTTAGGTCGTATAGGTTTCGTTTACTATTCGTTTAGAAAGTCTCTATTTCGAGTACAAAAAAAATCCATGCGTTTAATTTACCGTGTAATTTCGTCACCTATAGTTTCGTCTGGGACTTTGAAGATCGTTTAAGTTCAGAATAGTCAGATGGCTTCCAGCTTATCCCAAATTCGTGTCTTGACAATGTAAAGCTTTTCATTATAGATAGAAAAGAATACATAGGCCACGAAAATCTCTTGGCTTTTACAGTAGCGGCGAATCCGAGATCGAAGAAATCCTCGATGGCTCCCCTTCTTTAGCTTTGCACAGATCAGCCCACTCCTTTTGTTTTTTTTCTTTTCTGGTCGAGTTTCGTCGAGATAGAGGTATTGAATGAAGAGGAATACTCTATCCTACGCATCCTGTATTGCTTCAGCCTCCAACAACACATCTTCCTTGCATTCTGCAACGATTCGCATGCTCGCATATATATTTTGTTTCTCGCGAAATGACGTCAGAAGCCAACTCGTACCATTCTCCGCTGCTCCTCGGTCGTGAACATGGAAAAACTTTGAAAATCCATACAAAATTAAAGAAGATAGCTACAACGATAATTTTTTCCCAGTGGTGATCAGGAGAAAAAGGAAATTTATATTAGCGAAAGAGAATTTTTTTTCGGGGGGGGGCGGGTGGGGGCTATTGGCACTTTAATATGTCGCTTAAACAGGGTTATAGCTGGACATCTTCCAAGCGAGATTTCACGTCTCATACGGTTTTTAATCCTGCATGGTGGTGTAGTAACAGTGGAGTTGATTGACCCTAAGCACAGAAGATCCCTTTGATACAAGGAGGGCTTAAAATTCCGGTAAAAGTAATCATTGAAATGGAGCAGAGCACAACGAGACGTGAGATATTTGCAAGATACCAGACACACATTACTTAGCTCTTATTAACCGAGCAGGAGGTCTGTATGGGAGAATCTTGATCGAGGTCGGGAGTACAGACCGAACGCAGTGAGGTCCGTACACACAACCGAGGTCAAGATTCTCACATACAGACCGACTAAGTTCGGTTAATAAGATGTTTACTATATGGCAAAGAAGAAAAAAAATAATTTGTTTAATGTAACTGGTTTGTCCTAGCTGACATTTTGCTTGCGAACGGCGATGAGCTCAACTTAATTCTGCCAAACTCGTCCTCTTTACTGTTTTACGTCATCAGGCTTCGCACTTCCAGCCATACACAGCCATATAATAAAGACAATTACAAAGAACTACCAGATGGAAAGTCTGACGACTGCACAAGCGAGATTTTGATGAACTTAGCGGCAGAGGACTGTTCTGTCAGCGAGAGTGATGCAGTGAAAGATAACTGATGGACAAAATCAAACATCACACTCCTAAACATGAAGCTGATACATGTTAGAATAACAGTAATCAAACAACAGCTTGAATTTAATTATTAATTGATATTATATAGTTACTAAATTTCGCGATTTAATCTTCGCGTGTCCTATAATTTGCGAGTTTTAAATTTCGCGATTTTTTCAAAATCGCGAAGTTTAGTATAAGGTATGTTCTTAAAGTTTCGCTCAGCCTTGATATTCTTATAAAATATATTCTTCTAAAAAAGGAGTGTACTTGGCCCCTGTAGCCTTTGTGCTATAAATACTGAGACAGGGTATTTTATGTTGTTTTTGCTAACTCATTCTTTTTCTTCGGTGCTCGTTTTAGAAAAGTATCTTTAAAACCTTCTGTTGTTGACTAAGCTGACAGATTAAACACTAAAAGATTTGTAAGCATTCCATCAAATTTTCTCGGCCAGCATATAATATGGCTCCCATTTGGAAAGGATGATAAAGTCAGACAGACAACACTGATTTCTTTATCATTTAGCGTGCGCCTCTTGCCTCCAGGATTTGGCGCGGTCATTTTTTTCCTCGAGATTTTCTTTCGCGTCACGCGCGACTGACTAAGCAAAGAGCGCCCATTGGTAGTCTAGCCAGCTATGGCTTATGTTAAACAAACAAACAACACAGAAATAACCAAAGCGGCATGGAAAACCGTAGTTACCGGCGTATACAATAATTTGACTTCCAAAGTTCGAAACTACATTTCATGTGATCGAAGCTCAATTAACTCGTGACGACATTGCATCCAAGAAAATGTTTACCGTCCACCGACGTATCCAAGAATTTGACCGCCAATTTTCGAAACACTTCATGTGATCGACGCTGAAATAACTCGTGACAAGACAATATTACATTTTAGGGAATGTTAGACGCTGACTCGCTAAATAGATGAGTGCTTTGGACTACTCTTGGTCGCCCGAAAAAATCTAGGTCATACGAACTGACCTGTCCACCGACTGTGGGCAGAAAATGTCTCTTATACTTGGGGAAGATCTCTGCGTTAACGCTACAGTTCCAAGTTATTTACCCTTTTTCACGGCCTCGTCTTCAATATTAATTAGTATCATTGCGTCTGTTGGAAACTCTCTCGTGGTTATTGCTGTCATCTGGAATCCTTACAAAGACTTGCGGACACCGTTTTGCTACTTCGTAGCGAATCTTAGCATTGCGGACCTTGTCGTTGGACTTATTGTAGGGCCTTTGTCTACGATAAATCATATCCTGAAGGGACTTGACAAGCTAAAGCAGCCTTTCGGAGACATAGTTCTGGTAGCGTATTTTATTTTATGCACCGCGTCACTTTTCAGCCTATCAGCTCTAGCGCTCGATCGTTATCTCGCCATCATGAACCCTCTGAGTTATCGAACCAACCTTAACCCTGTCAGGACCTTCTTGGTTTCAGTTATTGTGTGGATTGCGTCCATTCTGCTTTCGATGATCTTTTTCATTGTGGGGCCCTTCAGATATCTTTTCATCTTTGCTAACACTGCCTTAGCTGTTACCATTGTTGTGCTGATTTTTACGAAAGCCAAGATTTTGAAGTACTTGCGACACCAGACGCAGCAATGGGACACCTTCCACGAGAGTACAGAAGAGAACTTGATTATGAGACAGTTGATGATGTGGGAAAAGAAAATGACGAAAACACTGCTCATTGTAATGCTGTTGTTTCTTACTTTTTATCTCCCATCATGTATTTTTATTTACATCATCAATCTCTGCACAAATTGTCATTGTGTGTTTCTTCATTGGATCATTGACATTCAATTTCTTCTTATAATGGCCAATTCAGCCGTGAATCCATTTGTGTTCCCCTGGAGATTGGGAAATTTCCGAAGGGTTTTCAGGAGCATTGTGACATGTCGCACGTGTATCAGGTCCATGTCAGTTTTGAACCACAATAATTATCAACCGTTGTGAACGCTAATGGGTCTTAAAACAGCTACGCGCGATAGGTGCAGTTTAGTTGATACAGAGGACATTAAGTAGACAGCCGATTAAACTGGAAAAGCAGAACGTATGCAAGGTAGTTCCCAAAGCGTATGGCGGCCATAAACCGATGGGGGTCAAAATGTGTAAAACACGGGACAGTTTTGTCCATGATGATTGTCTCGTGGGGTATACGTGACAAATCAACATCGCACAGCGTTGCTGACTGACTGTCGGTTTATTTCGGTGTATATCGAGTGACTTTTAGATTTGGGTAGGTGTACGACAATGTGTCCGGTTAACAA